TGGAGAAAAGGGTACTCTTGTACATTGCTGGTGGGACTGCAAATTGGTGCGGCCAATTTGGAAAGCAGTTTGGAGATTCCTGGGAAAGCTGAGAATGGAACCACCATTTGACCCTGCTATTGTCCTTGTATTCATTTCTATTTGCACTTGGGTAGTTATTAACCTTGAGTTTGTTGGAGTATGCTTACCAATCTTGGTGTTCTTTCACTTTTCACTTTTAAAGGTGAGTCACTGTGTACGGTCCTTCCTTGGCCTCTACTGGAAAACAATTGTCCAGCATTTTGGTGTGTGGTAGGTGAGATCCTTCACTGAATTCTTTCCTTGATTTCATCCTCTGACAACACATATTTAAAATAGAAAATATATACTATATATAGTATACAGATATAATATATGTATATATGCTATATACATGTATGACTATATAATGTATAATCAAAGGAAAAAATTCTCTAACTCAGGTATCTTTTACCCAAAGAGCTTATACTGCTTCAATGGACACTGCAGTTTGAACACTGCAGCCAGTACTTTAGAAATGCACAGTCCTCAGATGGGAGAAAAGAATGTGATCTAAACTTGGAGCACATGTTGGGTTCTTTGAATAAGACTCCACTTTGATTGTGGAGTGTCTGTCCTTCATCCTTTCAGTAGATACTTGTTGACCACCTATTTACCACATTTCCAGTTCTGTACCAGCTAGAAAAGTAATGAGTGCAAAAGATGCAGTCTCTATCTTTCTAATAACTTAGGAAGCTGCTGGTTAATTGGGATAATCATTTGTCAGAGTATTAATAAAACATGGCCCTATGTGAAGAGCAATATTCCTATCAGAAGTGTGCTTCAAAAACATGAGCTAAAGCAACCAGAGTCCCACACTGTGAAGGTGATGATAAAAACCAACATTTATGAACTTGTACCTGGCAACAACTTCTTTGCCTTTTCCCCTTTTATTGAAGAGGTAACTCCCTTTGAGGTAGCCAGACTCTATATTATAGAGAAATTACTTCCAACTTAATGCTACTCACTGAGCCAGATTTGTGGAAGATACTTCTCTGGGCCTTAGTGCCTTTGACTTTAAAATAAGGAATTGGACCATTGATAGCAGGTGTCCCAGATAACCAGTGGTTTACTGCAGCTAGTTATTTGTGCATATTCTTCATTTTATGATGTATCTTGCTGGCCTCCTGAAAAATTCAGTGAGACTCACAGGTTGGCTTTGGTTGCTTCTAATGTTAGTTTTTTTGTTGTTTTTTTGTTTGTTTGTTTTGTTTTGTTTTTAGTTTTTTTAGCTTAAAATAAGCCACAATAGTAACACTTACATCATGGAAATAGGCCAGTGCTGCAAATCTGGGCTCTTTTCCCCTGGAGAGCAGATTGTTCAAAGTTTACCTGCACACCACTACTACTGTCAAAGCCAAGTTGCTTTTGATTTGTTTTTAATAGAAAACAGACTCTTTAGCCTGGACCAACACACTGGTTATGGTGTGGGTGATTCAAGTCCTTTGCAATTTTTGATAGAGAAAACACAGTGTGTTTTGAACTTATCTTGGAATATGGATCAGCAAACTTTTTGTGCAAAGGGGCAGATAGTAAAACTTTTAGGCTTTGTGGGATATACAGTCTCTATTGCAGTTACTCAGCTCTACTGCTGTTCTATGAAAGCAGCCATAGACAGTATGGAAACAAAGGAGCGTGACTGTGTTCCAGTTAAACTTTGTTTGCAAAAACAGGCATTAAGCTGTAGTTTGCAGATTTTTTTCCTAGAATTTGAGAACAGGAGTCATGTTTTAAGGAGGTATTTTCATAGAACAAGAATTCTTCAGGACTTTATGTATGAATACCAGGGACCTGAGTCTCCAAGATGGATTCAGCTGGCAGTCAGAACTGGAAAGTATTTGGAGTCAATCATAGAAGAATCCATAGTAGATTGTTTAAAGAAAGCCCAGGTATTTTCAAGTTTTGAGGACACAGCCATGGATAGTGAGGAAGTCTTTACTCCTAACTCCTTTTCTGGAGCCATCTCCCATATATTATGCTCAAGTGGGTGGACCTGTAGTCTGATCTAGTGTGTCACGCAAAAAACAGTATCATCTCTTAACAGTTGTCTTTATTTCACAGGCAGGGAAAAAGGAAATATTCAAAAAGAAAGAAAAATCTTCCTGATATTTGTGTATCTTATACATTGTGTGTGATGTGTGTATACTGTGTTTACATGTATATACATGCACAGTTGTATATCTTTATATGTACATAAATTGTACATGTGATTATACATTTTATGTATTTTAAAGTAGCCTCATAATTGTTTGATAAACAGATGTACAACTGCTAACAATAGCCAGTTCTGAGAAGTGGAATGGAAGGAAGGCAGGGAAATTTTACTTTTATTTTTTGTAATACTAGATGTCTGGAACAAAATTCATACATAGTTTTTACAACTTAAAAACAAAACAAAAAACTAAAATCTCAACACTTATATTTTTAAAAGGAAGGTGGTATTATTTCTCTGGTAAGAATACTGCCACCACCCTTCTCCCCCAGTACGACAAACTACTTCCATTGTCACATCACATTTCCTAACTGGAGTATATAATAGTAGTATATATCGACTCAAATAGCATTGAGACTGAGCTGTCTCAAGTCAAAACAATATTAATGTTTGGCTTAAACTCCTGTGCAAAGTTGGAAGCACTAGATCAAAGCGTCTTTTAATGGGCCGTTATAACCCTTATACTGGTGTTATAAAATTGCTATTATACAGTTTTTAAACTAATAAGCAGATTACATGGGACTATTTCCCAGCAATCCTCTGTTTCTGAGGAGAAAACGCATGTACATAAATATATGAGTGGGCATCTGTCTGGACATAGGCATTGGATTTGCCAAAATGTTGAGTGGTTTTCTCTTGGTGGTGGGATACAGTTGACTTTTAGATTTTCTTACAAGTTTTCCAACATGAACAAATACTAGATTTTATGTCTAAAATCAACCCCTGTGGATATTTTTACACAAGATACATTGAGATCACATTGTCTCCACTTTTCTTAGACTGACACCAACGTGCCTGGTAGTAGAATTCTGCTGCTTTCTCCCAATAGGAAGTGGAAGAACAGGTGAAGAGAGTAAGGCATTGGAAACCCAGAACAGGCACACTTGTAACTGTAATCACATTGTGCTGTTTGGACTTCTCTGTGGAGTCTATTCCAATCCTTCCCCTACAGTGGACCAGGAGGTTAGAAAGCTCTTTAGCACCATCACTTCAGAAGCCATCAGCTGACCAGCTCCCTAGATTGACTGGTCTTCATTTTTTTTTTTTTTTAACTTTTTTGGGGTTAAGGGTGCTGGGGTTTGAACTGTGTGGAGCTTTACTGCTGAGCTACATTCACAGCCCTTTTTATTTTCTTTTTTTTCATTATTGGTTATTCAAAACATTACAAAGCTCTTGACATATCATATTTCATACATTAGATTCAAGTGGGTTATGAACTCCCATTTATACCCCAATTACAGATTGCAGAATCACATCTCATTCAGTTGCTGAGGTTGGCCTTGAACTTGCCATCCTCCTGCCTCAGCCTGCTCAGGTCACTGGGATTGCAAGTGTGAGTCACTGTGCCTGGCATTTAAACAAATTTTTAATGGGGGATTTCAGATATACAAGTAGGTGGAGAAGAGAGTATAAGCCCTCAGCCTTACAAGGATGACCATTAATAATTGGCCCATCTTGTTTTCACTTGTACCTTTCCTTGACTTCACTTCTTTTCCTCCTGCCAGGAGTTGGCATCTTCATTTTCAACTATTTAACAAAAAAACTATTCTTTGCTGCATCTCTTTGGTAGTGTAAATGTACCAGCACCGTAGAAGTCTTTCTAATGTCAGCCAAATTGAAATTCTGAATGGTCCTTGAGTACTTGCTCATTTTCACCCCCTTGCATGGGTTTTTAAACATTTTTATAAATGATGAAAAACATCTTTAATGAATCTACTTTTGCATTTGCTTTTCCCTCTGCCTGTGAATCTAAACCCATCTTTTCTTTTTCCCAGTTCTCTGTAAAGTCTTTCATGAATCTCAGTTGTAGTTCTCTTTCCTTTGACCTTTCTTCTGACCCTTATCTTATTGTAATTAATTGTATGCTTATCTTAGTCTTCTTGTTAAATTGTAATCTTTGTATAAAAGGAGTGTTTTCCTTATCTTCCTTTCTCCTGTAGTACTTAGCAATGCTTAATTCAAAGAAGATACTCAAGAAATACATGCTAAATTAATTTGAATTGTTCAAGGTCAATGGAGTAAAATTTTGAAAATAAAAGAAATTCATCACATTAAAAGAAAAATTCTCAGGCATTACCTAGGACCAAGAACATTTTCTCCTACTTTCAAGGATTTTTAAACATTTTAAATAATGATGAAAAACATCTTTAATTTGAACCAGCATTTTAAAAAATGGCTTCTTTTTTAAAAAATTTTTTCCCCAAATATATATATATATATAAAATCTGGAGCCTTTAGGTGTTTTCTGATCTTTATATGCTTTGCCCCTTAGGAATAATACCTCAGAAGAGGTGCTAAATAGTATTGGATTATTTTTATTGGATAAGAGTGATTCTTGACTATATTTTAAATATTTATTGTTTTAAAGTGATTTTAAGTCTTCAGCAAAGAAATAGGCTACATTTAGAGCTCACTGAGTCCCATGAAGTAAGTCAATAGCAATCTCATAAATTACGATAGCTCACAGAGATGGAGTTCCTGGTGTACACCATGCTTCGTGTATTTGCCTCATTTAATTATCCCAGCAGCCCTTGTCATTTGGGCAGAGCAAGTGAAGATGGGCATTGTTATCTTAGAACTACAAAGAAGTAAACTGAGGTTTAACAGGCAAGAGGGAATTTTGTCCACAGCAGCTAAGTGACAGAGTCTGATATTAAGTGCAGATTAGAAACAAGATTTAAGAATTAGATGTTGCAATTATGCAAAGACATGAAACCATCTTGCTAAACAGTGTGACTTTGAGACTCAGAACAGATTCTTGTGCCCCTTAATGCCTTGGAACTACTAAAATGATATCACACTATCTGTAGCCATTTCTTTCTCAGATTCCTGAAGTTCTGCTTTTAGTCTTTGTTGTCAAGAGTTAATCCACTTTCAATGAATTAGCCTCTCTGTACCTGAGTGTGGATGTGGTTCTATCCATTCTCTCTTGTCCTAAGGAGAACTCCAGGCCAGCCCATCTTTGGATAATGTGGCTTGCCTTGGGCCATTGCTCCAACAGACAGATATGGACCACTTAATTATTC